GGTTCCGGGTTGTACGAATGACGCTACTCTTTACTCTTTTCAAAATTCGACAAGGACCCACATTTTTGGGAGGTACCCAGGTCACCGGGCTGTGAACACTCTGAATGGAAATGGACTATACTTGTCTTTTGAAAGGTTCTTCTTTCAGTGAAGGATATCCCGGAATTCTGATTCTGATGCACTTGGTAGAACCTTTGATGTTGCATGGCATATGTGTTTCGGAGGTTTCCATGGCTCCTACCGAGTACGAACAGGATGCTGACCGGGCTTTGCAGAACTTGTTGTTGTGGTCTCCTGGGCTTGGAATACCATACTTTAATACTTTTNNTTGGGGGATCTGTTCCTTAAAGGAACCATTATGAAATGAAAGTCTATACTTTTTTCTGCCTGGTTACTTCAAAGCCCAGCCTCTGGTGGTATGCGAGAATCCCTAGGCCCGAAAACTTGAACCTTTAACCGTGAGAGCCGAAATTCTCACACCCTACCAACGTGGCCCATGAACCCCAAACCCTAAAGCATACTTACTGGCCGTCCGCTTTCGACGGTCCAAAAAGACCTGTGGCACAGAAGAGCCAACGAATCCAGATCCGAAAGCTTCCGGGCCATGAAGCTAAAGGTTTAGGGTTTAGCGTTCAGGGTAGGGTTTAGGGCTTAGGGTTCAGGGTAGGCTTTAGGGGAGGTCTTAAATTCTCTGTAATAACATATGGGTAGTTCTCTAAATTAGGGTCCCCTTTTGGGGTCCCTTTTTTTATCAGGGTGCCGTACTATATTGGGGTTTAAAATAGGGGGCCCCAGTTCAGAGAACTACCCCTTTGCTTCTTAGCTCCAAAGGATGGCCACACCCAGAAAGTCTTCCCTGTGTCCAGGCATCCAGGCGGTAAATCCGAAAGGCTCCTGCCAAAGACCTCCGTGGATTTTTGGGGTTTAGGGGTTTAGGGTTTAGGGTTCCTAATGGAATCCTAAATATAAGCCACAAAAAGGAACTACTATGGGGCCTATGGGTACCCTAAGCACCCCAAACCCACTTTTTTGTAGGTTCTTATTATAAGCCCTAATATGGGATTTATAGGGACCCTACAAAAAAGTAGGTTTTGGGCTCTTAAGGTAAACCCTAAACCAAATGAGGCCCTCTCTCTCGACACCAGCTGCTTAGAGTTCGTCTCCGAAGAACTCCGCGCCTGGGACGCATGGAGGAGGCTTCAGAAGCATTGGGGATGAGGGCAGGGGGAGAGTTTTGGGTTTAGGAGTTTAGGATTCAGGGTTTAGGGGTTTAGGGTTCAGGGTTTAGGGGTTTAGGATTTAGGGTTTAGGGGTTTAGGATTTAGGGTTTAGGGGTTCAGGGTTCAGGGTTATTTAGGGGTTTAGGGTTTAGGGGTTTAGGGTTTAGGGGTTTAGGGTTCACGGTTTCGGGTTTAGGAATTAGGGATTGGGGATGATTATTAGGGTTTAGGGAATATCGGGAGTACAGTTGGGGTTTCGGGCTTTGGAGTTAGAGTTCAGGGTTCAGAGTGTGTACGGGGTTAAGGTATTGGGGTTTGGAGCTTAGGGATACCCTGAAAAGCCCTACCGTACACTCAAATCAGTAAGCCTTCAACCCTAAACCCAGAGCATTGCAAACATCTTGCGACAGCTCTGCAGCCAAGGTGAAGATGTGGAGCTGATGCGCGAGGTGCAAACCCCTAAACCCTAAACCCTAAGGTGTAGGGGATCGGGCTCAGGGCTTACCATGGTTTACTTTAAACCCCCCAATAACTTATTGTTTGAAGGGTTTGTATGAGGAAATCTTAGTAATCAGGGGCCCTGAAAAGCTAGGTTTCGTTGGGTCCAGGAAAGGTGTGGTATCTCAGCCGCAGCTGATTCTGGACATATACACGGGTTAAAGTACCTTAAAGCAAGGCGTGCCAAAACCACGACAGGTTCGGCATGCGGGTGGTTCCTTGTCGTGGTTGCTGTTGTTGTACTCGGTCTCGGTTAAAACATGCCGTTCCGTAAATCTGTGGTATTTTAGGATTCAGGTAAACCGTAAACGACGTAAACCCTAAACCCTAAACCCTAAACTCAAGAGGTCTTTGTCAAAAGAGAACTTGAAGGCTATTCTCTCTGTTTGAATGGGGGGGAGTGCTCTGAATTGCGTACTCGCCTTCATGTAGATGGTGTGGCAAGAACGCTGCTATCGGGGGCCTGGAAGGAGTTTGAAATTAGAACCACCCATTGAAGCGCTAGAAGACCGAGGGGCCTCATACGGATTGTCGTTTGCGGGAGATTGGAAACCGCACGGCCCAAAAAGACATTGAATCCTGAATCTTTGACCCTGAATTCCTGAAAGGCTTCATCATAGGCACCGAAGATGGATTCGTGTCTCGCAAGCTTGACCTACTAACCTTCAACCCCAAAACCGGCAAACCCTAAGCCAGTGAACCCTAGACTCTAAACCCTAAGCCAGTGAATCCTAAACCCTAAACCCTAAGCCAGTGAACCCTTAAACCCTAAACCCTAAGCCAGTGAACCCTAAACCCTAAACCCTAAACCCTAAGCCAGTGAACCGTAGACTCTAAGCAACTGAACCCTAGACTCTAGACCCCGACAGGACCACTGTTGCAGACCTTGCGCTGGGTTTTCGACTTCCGGCATGGCACACCCTAAACCCTAAACCCTAAACCCTAAACCCTAATTTAGAGAACTACCCATAGGGTTTCATGAGTGTTAACCCGCCAGGTACCTACTATATAGGGTACTAGAGCCCCTAGGGCCCTGGGTTAGTGTTCGTAAGGCTTGCAAAAAAAGGTGATATCGGTTTTCGGGTATAGAACTTGTTTTCGGCTTCAGCGAGTGTTCGACGAATTCCCCTAAACCTATAGCCCCCAATCCCTGGAACTCCTAAACCCCCAAACTCAGATGAGGCCGTGTCTCGAAATGCCTTCGCCCTACGCTTTGCAGGGCCCCGGGCGACAGAATGCAAGGATCAGAGTTTAGAAATTCAAGGGTTTAGGGGGTAAGACTCTTATAGGGGTTCAGGGTTTAGGGTTAAGACATGGGCAGGTCCAGAAGCATTGACACGGCGCTGATATCGCAGTCTTCGTTTCTGTTGTTGTGATGCTACTACAGTATGTGGGGTTTGTTCTCATGCAGCAGTGCCAATGACCATACTCTCACAACTACTGTTAGGGTTTAGGGTTTATTGAGTTTATCGCCATGCCAGTTCTGAGTGGCAATAGCAGCTATCCTATGAGCAGACAAGTGCAGTTCCGGTGACACAGGGCCGCAATGACAGAAGTCAGGGTCCATCACGACGAAGCTGCGGAGGATGATCACGAAGAAAGCGAACATGGCCATGACGTTGAGGATAGTCATGGTGGTGATGAGATAGAACCATGACGTCATCACCACCATCATGCCGCTGCTGATGATGACTGATGATGAGAACCATGAATCATGAATATACCAACTCGCGTGGTGTATTGAATCAATCGCGCATGGCCGGGCCAGTCGAAGTCTGATCCATTTCAATTGGTAGAGCAGTAGTTGCTGCTGCTTGCCGCTGCTTCTTGCTGCTGCTGCTGCTGCTGCTGCTGCTGCTGCTGCTGCTGCTGATGATGATGCCGCAGGAGCTACTGGTGAAACGAAATCCACAAGGTTGTTGATGATGCAGTAATGGTCATGGTTGCAGTGGTGGTGATGTTTCTGCGCTGCTTGGTGTTGGGACGCCAGGATCAGTACTACTATGACGACCACACAGACCAGGAATTCCCAATATCTCCCATCTACCTCGAATGGCGACTTCAGATCGGTACATTCGTTCGGATAAGTCGTCAAGGCCCGGTAGCAAGTGCACTTCCACACGGGTCCGTGTACCCACATAGTATACAGTTTTTGCCTAAGACACGTTCTGGGGGGAACCTTTTCAAGGCCCAAAGTATGTATCACACATGCAGGTGGACTCACTAGGGTTTCGGGGAATCCCAGAAAGTAAGCTTCAAGGTGCCGAAGTGGAACCCAATTGAAGGGCTAAGTATCCTGTATATATGGGGGTTTCCGAAAATAGGGGACCCCTGTATAGTACCCCAAATAATAGGATCCTTATTATAAGGACCCCAAAATAAGGTACCCCTAATTTTCGGAAACTCCCATATTATAAAGGCACATGTAGCCCTCAGACATGGCACCGATGCAATCCCTAGACTCTAAACCCTACAGCCCTAAATCCTACAGCCCTAAATCCTACTAAGCACTACATCCGAAACCCTAAAACCCAAAGCCCTAAAGGCCTAAACCCCAAACCCTAAACCCTGAACCCCGAACTCCAAGCCCTACACCCCAAACCCTAAACCGCAAATCCTAAACCCTAAACCCCTGAAGCCCTAAACCCCAAAGAAACTGAAGCAACACGTGGGATGAGACATGCAGGAGCTGGTCTTGGACGCTGTTCAGGTAGAAGGACCCTCCACCAGTTCTGGGGTTTGGGGGTCTTAGGGTTTAGGGTTTAGGATAGAAGGTTCCTTTATTTGGTCTTCCTATATTATCAGGGTTCTAAGCTCTGGTTTTGTGTTTTAGGTTTCTGATTCTATTATTTCGGTTGTGATGTTGGGTGCATGTTTTTTGTTTATCATGTTGGGTGGACAGAGGCATGGGAGCAAGTGGTTGTAAACGCAAAGTACGGCAAGTTTCTCTGAATCCAGGTTGCCTTCTAGGTTCCTGTTGTACTAGCAGTATGTAACTTAGACTTTTCGCCGAGGTTTAGGGATTAGGGCTTTAGGGTTTCGGGGTATGTAGGGGTGTTGACCCTATCCCCTGTGGTCCCCTCAGAATACTATACGTACCATTTGACGAAAATAGCATAACCCCCGGTGCAACCAGATTTCATTTGTGAAGTAAAGGACGCTAACTAACAGCCCGTTGTTGTAATTATCGTTGACCCCCCAAAAAAAACATATACAAGCCTTGTGTCACTATACAGAGCCCTGCGAGAACAGAAAAGCCGCACTAAACCCCGAAGCCCTAATCAAACCCTTTTGTGAAGGGGCGAGTTCTAGGGTTTAGAGAGGTACATACAGAGTGAGTTTCCGAAACTCAGACTTAGGCTTTTTGAGCAGGGGTTTTATAGAAGTTCGCCTCTAGACTGTACGTATGGGTCCAGCGTGCCATGTCCTGGATTCCTGCACTCACCAAAGCCTTTTGAGATAAATCTTCTCAAGAGTAAATCCAGCTTTCCCGGATCCCCTGATTCGGAAGTTTAGGGTTTAGGGGTTTAGGGTTCAGGGTTTAGGGTTTAGAAGCCCGAAGAGATTCAGTCTCGAATCCGAAAGACACTGTGCACGCCGAGATGATTTTCATGACTTCACCACTGTGAACCAGGTTTATTTGCAAAGCTCTGCGGGCGCATTCCGAGATGAGTGACTTTCGCGGAGTGTGCTTGTCGGAGACACGAAACGCATTCATCAAGATGTCGCATGTGCGGAGAGCATGGCCACAGATGACCCTAAACCCTAAACCCTAAACCCTAGCAAACATGCTAGCCCGAGCTGGAGATTCTGAAAACCCCTGCGTTCATCAAAACCTGTATGAGGACAGGTAAGGCTCTTAAACTTTGAAAGACACGTAAAATCCCTCTGCACGCCGAAGCACCAAATCCACGATGCCTGTGATTCCGATCCCAAAGACAAAGCAAAAACATCATTTCGATGATGGAAGTAGGTATGGCCCTGCTTTATGCTGGACCTGAGATGCGAGCTGACCGCGAGGTGCCGGGTACAGTAGCTTGCACAGTCGTTGTGTTATTGTTCTTTTTAAGAATCCAAAAAGCACGTAAGCATAAGCATTTTAACGGGATATCCCTACCTTATTGGG